ATATTACTGCATACCGTTCAGTAAATGTTGTTCAAGTCTGGTACTACAAAAGCGATTTTAAGCGACATCACTGAAGCTCTCAGTGCATTCTCTTGAACTATAGTCTTTCTCTTTTTTTTTGCCTAAACAAATTAAAAACTTCTCAAGTCAAACTTCAATTAATGTCATTAAAAAATTCTTAAATAAAATTCCACATTTCAATAGTTGCCATTTTATTTGTCATCTCGTTATGTTTATTTTTGGCAAAATTAAATTGAATGGATTACCCCATCAACGGTTTCACAAATTTCAGTAACCACATCGGTTGTCGTCCCATCTGTTCAAACTATCACTGTATGCTTTTCAGTGCAAAAAAAAGTAAGATTTTTTGCTTTTGCACACCGGTGATATATTGATGGAGGAAGTAATTCAATCAACTTTTAGTTTACTATCTCTGTTTCGGCATTGAAAGTATTTCCATTGGAAACTTTGATATTGTCGGCTCTTAGCTTCATCTCTTTTTTCTTTCTGGCGAAAACAAGACTTGTATCTTTTTGTTTTTACATTTTGCCAACACCAAAATTTGCATACAGTAGAAAGAGAGTAAGAATGGAACAAAAATAAAATTTTTTAAACATAAAATCAAACAGTTATCACTGTTTTTTTTCAAACTCTTATCGTTTCTGACATTATTACCAGCTGTATTGCCCGACAAACCGATTCGTACAGGTAATAATTAAATAAAAATTTCTGAATAAATTTTTTTTGATCTATAAGTAGGAAAAAAAAATAAAAGTTGAGTTAAGACGAATGCAAAGATATACAAAGATCAGTTTTCTTTTTCAAAGTACTTACATCAACCAATAAAAGTCAGACAATCACTCGCTAAGTAAACCAATTTTTTGGCCACTTTTTTCACGCAAAAAATTAATTCAGTTTTTCATAGACAGCAATAAAGATTAAAAAACAAAAAGTAAAAGCAACAGTAAAAAAGAGAAACAGCTACAAGACTAAATTTTTTCCTCGCAGTTCTTTCTTATTTTTCATTCTTCTTCACCCCGAAACTTTCCGCTTGATGTACTTCCTTAGCGATGAGAATAAAGGAACGAAAACGACAAGTAATTATACAAACAGTAAACAGCAAAATATAAATGCACAAAATTTAGGTCAACAACGATTGCCACACAGATTTATTCTCCGTTAACGCTGCTTAACAGTAAAGAATTTGAAGACAAAAAGAACAGAAAAAGACGACAGTTTTAACCAGGCAACTCTTCTTTTTCCCTGACTCTGATAGAACTCCTTTGCAGCAAATAAAAAGGGAAGTAAACTTTTTGCTGAAGTGATAGCAACAAAACTAAATCAGTATTTTTGAATAGGAAAAGTGAAAATAAACTTGTATTAAAAGCAAGAAATTAACCAATATTTCGTCTTTTCTTTTCTTTTACTTTTTTCCTGTCTTAATTTTTTTTGTTTATCGGAATGTGTAGCTAATTAAAAGCCTGCGTTACTTTGGCAGATTTAAAGATAAGTGGAAAAAAAAGAAACAAGAAAGACAAAAGTTTACTGCCTCTTTCCTAAATAGAAATTCAAAAATAATCATTATAAGTAAGCCACAGTGTCAGTCTTCAATTCTGCAGCAGAAGCAAAAAACCACTGATATATTCTGAGCAAAATTTTTATCTTTTTCTTCTATATATTTTTGAATGGAAGTATATGTGCATATTGTTTGTGTTTGTCTTCTTCTTTTTTTTTTTTTTACAATAAAACTATTTTCGCAGAAAGTAAAGCAGTAAGTAAAAAGTGTTTTGGAAGAGCAGTGCGGCAAAAATATCAAGTTCAAGAAGTGGCGTAAGACTTATTGGAAAGCGGATAATCGAGGCGCATTGTAAATAAACGCCAGCGCAATAGTAGCATTGAAACGTTTGCTTGAAAGATCAGAACCCAATAACTAAGCAGAATAGAATAGGAGGAAGAACTGAAGAATAAACGAACGAAAGAAGAACAAAAAAAAAGACAAAAAAGAAGTAATATGAAATTAAAATAAACTAAAAAAAAAGTCAGTAAAACTTTGCAAGAGTTAAAAACAAATGCTTCATTGATAGATTTTCTTACTTATAGTTAAACCTTCTTGTGCTGCTGTTGTTTAGCATCCACTATTTTAGCAAACCAAATATTTATTGGAGCAACAAATAGAAAAGTTCAAATAAAACCATTCTTCATCGAGATTTTCCTTATTTCTACAATTATATTTTACATATTTATTGTGACTGTTACACGTATCAATGTACTAACACATAGTTCTCAATTGATTACATGCAGCTACCTACAATCGTCTTCAAACCCAATGACAGAATTTAGTTGTTTGTACTATCTAAAAATAAATATACCGAAAAGTACATATTTCCTGGACT